CAGCAGCAGTTGCAGCAGCAGCAGCGCAAAGGCTACCACGAGAAGGGTGAAGAAGACGACGACGAGGGAGATGAGGAGGAGGAGGACGAGCTAGGGTGACTACGATTATTACGCCTCTATACTCGTCCTCCTCCTCCCGCCTCCCTCCTCCTCCTCCCCCTACCCCTACTGCTTCTGAGCATTCTGCTTTGTCATTGCTGATACGTTTTGCTTTGACTGTAAGATGATGTCGATGTTTCTGCTTGGTGCCAACGATTTTGTGATTACCGTTCTACGTGCGCTGCTCATACTCAGAGATCATAGCTTATGCTATCGCCATGACCATTTTAGGGAGGGGGGGGGGGGGNNGGGGGGGGGGGGGGGGGGCGTTAGGGGATCCGATAGGGGTATGTGGGGATTACAAACAGACCATGGGGATCCCCATTGATTGTTAATGTCAACGTTGAGGAATGAATCAGGTGAAGAGTAGTTTGGGTCGCCAACCTCTGCGAGCATTCGCAGCATGTCCAGACAAGCAGTTGGGATCTCTGCAGAGAAGAGCAACGGCACAATCCAGCCAGTTCCTAAGCAGTTTGGGCCCTATTTTGCTGTTATCGGTTGCTGTTGAAAGTACTCATATTTCTGTTGCTGCAAAACAAGTATTTGAAAGAGAACTTAACGATTCAGTCTGAGGATACCACTTACTTACTTCTTGCTTATCTGATGTTGGCTATGGTTGTGTTTTGGGTGAAGCTTGGTTGAAGCTTCGGGGCTTGAGAGACAGCGTCTAGAGTCCAAAGCATGCGTGTCCACCGTCCTTCTCAAAACTAGCAGCCCATTGTAAAGGGATCTTTACAAGGAGCATGGAGGCCATGTCGGAATGTCGGAATATGTGAAGCACCAGACGTCCATGGTTCCAGAGGCTTTCATTCAAATCTTGATTTGCCGCCACTTCCAGTAGACTTTCCAGCAGATTTCCCAACGCTACCATAATATTTGTCAACTTGATGGCTCGTAGACTATATGTACACTCCCGCTGGCACCTCACCCAGCATGGAGAACTTGCGAAAATATCTGTAATCGATAGGCCCCCCAGGCAAACACCCTTTTCGCATCGATCAATACTTAAGGGTGCAGAATGCAGCACTGTCAACGTAAGGGAGAGAACGGAGTTGGGAAGGTCCCTTGCCTACTTTGGCCTCATTATGTGACTGACTGGTCTAGAACATCTGGCTTAGACTATCTGCGAGTAGTCCTGACTGGGGGTTAGAAAATGGAGGTCGCATTGCAGGATTCCGCAACCAACGGCTGCATGTATCAAAGAGACAAGAGGCCTTGTGCACGGAGGCATGACCAGTACTTGACAAAGTTTGCCATCTCGTTCACCGCGAACAAGGGGTCCGAAAACAATTGACCTCAGCGACGGGCGATGATGGGGTCATTTCCAAAGCAGGGTCTTATGACGACACTCCCGAATCCATTCGTCACCGCAACGGGGCGCATGCGCTTGGCACAGTGCAGTATTGTAGATACTGTTCGAATGGAGCAGACAAGATGTGTTGGGGGCCGGCATGCGCAGAATTAGGCAATTGGACCTGGTAACCTTGACATGCACGTCATCCACAAGCAAAGCTAAGGGGCCCCTGAGCGCCAGCAACGTGTAGCTGGTGTAGCCCAGGGAGAAGCAGAGCATCGCTTCGGAACCTACCGCCGATGTCCACCTCGAGCAATAACCGTGAATCAAAAAGGCCTACTATTTGGCCATGGTATGTCGCACAATTCTGGAAAATCAGAAAGAAGTACCCTGGCACCCCGGCCTGGGTGGCCTCAGTTACTTTGTCGACTCTTGGCTGAGGACTTGGAATGACGTGGAAACTAATTTGTGCCACTTCAACAACTCAAGACCCTGGCCACAGCAAGTACCTTGCAAGATGCGCACTGGACTTGAACAGTAGGTATTCCCGCATCCCTCGTGCCTTGAAATTCCCTGTAGAGAGATGAGGCAATCCCTGCATCACGCGACATCGAGGGACTGCCAAAAATAGCCGCGCCTTTTGCTCAAGAACTTTCTCAAGCAGAACGCGGAGCAGCTGAAGGCGTGAATTGCTGAGAGCAAGTAGTGCTCCGCGACCTTGACGATCACAACACATGCGCAACACCAAGATTCTAGTCTAGATGCCAGTAACAAGAAGGACCTATGTAAGGAAACCGTGAACGTGAGAATCAAATCCATCCCGGCAGCACAACATCAACCATAGAATTCCCGAGGCTTTAGCTATGCCCTCGACCCAACACACTTCTGACTACACCACAACCCAGCATTAAACATCCCCACTCTTTAAACCAAGGAGGATATAACTAAATTCTGCTTTGCCCTGAGCCCCAATCATTCTGTCTGAGGCTCAGTTAACTCAAGCATTTCCAATCTTTACAATGGCAAGCCACTGTGGCATTCAAAAGCCTGGGTGGAATGACTGCTTTGACATCCGACAACCTCCCAGACCCCTTAAAGGATCCA